TACCCAACAGTTATAGGTCGCATTGCAGTAATCGAATTGTTCATGAAATTTACGTACATTTCTTTACATTTTTTGGGATTTAATTTCATCCTATGTTCTATGCAATAATCATGGATTTCTCTGACAACTACATCTAGCATACTAACGGAGTTCGTTGGAATGATCTCAAATGCAGTAGTGTCATCAACATACTTCGTATGCATATACCAATTACTGAGTAGCTTGTTTATCATAACAATAAAGAGCGTTAATCCGAGTTTTGTTCCTTGTGGGACACCACCATTGACTTGCTTCCATGGTGACAGGGAGGAGCCAACACGTACAGCCTGTGTCCAGTCGGTAAGAAAGGAACGAATCCAAAAAAACAGAGTTTGATCGATGTTGAACAATCTGAGTTCATCTAATAATATTGAGTGGTCTATGATATCGAAACCTTTAGTAAAATCAGCAAAAAATATCCGAACAGGGCAGTTACCTGAATCAATAGCATCATGTATAGCTTGCATTAAACAAATTAATGCGTGCACTGTAGAGTGTCCATGACATGCATATTGACGTGGTTCGATAGAATCAAACACCTGATCTAACAGTCTTTTGTTTTTAAAACCCTCTAGTACTTTTAAAGCAGACAAGTGATGAGAATTAAGAAAAATATCAACAGCTGTAGGGCTGCAGGGATTATTAGTTGATGAAATTCAAAATTCTCCAAGGTAATATCACAAAAATTGTATAGTAGACAGTGAGGAGAATTACCTCTGAGATCATGAGAGTGGAAGAGTTAAACCCATACTGTATTTTGATCACTATAATAACATAAATCCCTCATACCTGCTCGACACATAAGAGAAGCCACCAGTTTAGAAGGAATTGATCCTCGTTTGTTCATTTTTGCCTGCTTGGAATATGGCAAGTATGGAATGACCCCTGAATATGCAACACCTTACATCACTGTATTGACTGACATGCTTTCAATTCATTGACTCAGTAATTCATTTACTTGACTCAAATTAAGTTTATAAAAAATACCACAAGCAATAACTCAATAAGTAACTACATGTGTGGGCTCCTTACCAATAATTCGCTTAGCACAAGCAGTTTTACAGGCATATGTTAAAATAAACAGTTCCATCAGGGCATCGTTAACATCAAGACTCTCACTGAAAAATAGACAAATACAGTTTCCATTACCACTGAGCATAAGAATTAGGTAAGCTAAAAGAAGAATATTTTCCATGTTTGAATTAAAACTTGCATAGGCCATCAAAATTTAGCAGAGAATTCTGTGTAGTAAGTGAAGAATTCTCCACTTTGCATTGGGATGATAATAAACAAGCCTGAAACACAAACATAAGTGCATGCCACACTGAAAATAACATGTTTAAAATGTAAATTCAAGATTGATGTATGCATATACATAATTTTGAGTGTTTTCTTCTGATAAACCTAAATGACATAAAGTTGCTGACATTAACATGTGTATAGATCAATCTACTGAAAGGTTGACTCTTTTCAAGAGTACAGTCAATACTATCTTTTGGTTCAATGGGAAAGAAGGACTTATAGTTACCATTATATACATGTATAACCATGCACTCTTTTGTTAATGTTGATAGAGTACTAATACTGACATGAAAAAAAAAATTAATATTTGAGAGATTTTGAACTGCGTCTATGTGAAACAGCAAATGTCAGCTTGCCCAAGTCATGGTGGTTTTGAAGATGCCCTTGTATGACTTACAAGGAATAGTTTTAGTGCCCTTTTTCTGGAAATTGACTTCTACTCTGTGAGAGAAAGAGTGAAGAAAATCTTATGTCCATGGCAAACACAAAACAGGTTGCTTTTGTTGAAACAGCAAAGCGCAACCTGTAAACATGAAAAAATGGTGGGAAAAACAAGGCCATGTGATCACTCTTGCCCTTCATGTTTCCCAAAAATGTGGCGCTAAATCTCTCTGTTCTTACCCCAATCCTGACTGTATAATGTACACATCTTTACCACGAACAGAGGTTCCTATCTTAACAGAAGTTTCTACAAAATAAGTTTGAAAAAAGAAGATAAACTTAAGGATTACTTAAACGGGGTTATGCTGTTCTTATTCCTCAGTATCGCCTTAGAAAGAAAATTAAGCTTTCATATTATTTTTTTTCCAAGGAAAACTGATTTTACCCACCATCTCAACAAATTTACATTGTCTTTCACGTTCCAACCTAGCTACAAAATGAGGTATCAGAAAATTTCAAACTGGAGTGTTCCTGTGGTTGGATGTTAGTTCAATTTTTAGGAAGCATGTTAACAGCAAACACCAGTTACTTGTGAATTGTCCAGCAAAAGAAACCAGATGAGCTAGGGCCCAAATGCAAACTGAAGTGTTATGACATTAACTGAAGAACACCTGCAAATGGAAACCAAGATTTTCTGTGCAAATAATTATTTTGGCTGAATATGTTGCTCTGTATCAGTTGTCTTAATGATCAATACCCTAGGGAAAATTTCACCAAATTCCGAAGTTCCTACATCGTTGACAGGTCTGCAATGTTATGATGACATTTTGTAGGGAAACTTATCTCTACCAAATCTCTACAAGTGTCTTCACTTCAAGAGAGGTTTAAGTAAAAAGCATGCTGAAAATGACTACAGAAAAATTGTGTAGTAAAGTTGTTTTTAAGGTGTAACTAGCATCTCAGATGATTTAGACATACGAAACTAGATGTCACCTTGATTTTGAAATTTCCCAACACTACACGAGGCCAGCTCAATTCCCAGTTTCCTGAGAAAAATAAAATAGTGAGGACAGCTTCAGGTAAACCATAAAATTTAAATTGTCCACTGGATACATTCGAAAGCTACCAAACAAATTCAGAATGTCTCTGAAAGAACAAATGAAAAACAAAACAAACTGGACAGTACAGTAACAAAACAAGAAAACAAAAACAATATCTTTAATAAGTCGACAAGCTTACCTGGCGATCTTCTCAGACAAGTCTTTGTTAGAGTTAAGTGCAAAAACAATTATACCACTCTGACTGGGATTCATCGCAAAGGTTCCCTTAAGATGCTTGAAGTTCAGTAGTAGAAAAGTAACTTGCGAATGTCCAAGGACTGGATGCGCACATGTAAACCCCTTGCGCTAGTCCTTGGGAAAAGATACCAGGCCTTTCTTAGAAGGAGTGGCCACTAAGGTCTACACGATCATGGCGAACTTCAAATTTAATTTTACGTCCGCGGATATTAACGAAGATGCGACCATCTCTTCGTCTGGAAACGATAAGGACATTTCACCAGAACCTACAACTGCACAAGAGGCAAAAGAAATTCAAATAACGTCCAATTCTCTGGCGTATTTGGATTCTGCAATAGAGGAAATTTGCCTTGGACAAGGTAGCTTTTGCTTAAAACACGTGAACGAGATTAGTGTGGATGAAAATCTAACAAATAGTGCGGCCATAAAAACAGCAGCTGAAAGGAGCTCGGACTTGATTCCTTCGGTTTACGAAGGAGGGCTTAAAATTTGGGAATGTAGTATAGATTTGGTGGATTACATGTTGGAAAGTGGAATCGATTTTCTCGGAAAACGGGTGTTGGAAATCGGTTGTGGAGCGGGGCTGCCCGGAATATATGCTCTTCTTCAAGGAGGCCAGGTTCATTTTCAGGATTACAATGACGATGTTATTGAGCATGTAACGATTCCTAATGTATTATTGAATCTTGAACAGCGACTGAAAAGGGAACACTGTGACTTGAAAACAACAACAGTAGCTAACTTCGACCTCCTCGAAACAGTGCGGCAAAGTTGCTCATTTTATTCAGGTGACTGGGGAAATCTGTTAGGTTTCATCAACCCAGAACTAGCCACTGAGATGCTGTATGATGTAATCCTAACGGCTGAGACAATTTACGCCGTGGAATCACATGTCAAGTTGTACCAGTTCGTCAAAAGACACCTAAAGAAACCCAGTGGCCTCGCCTATGTAGCGGCCAAAACACATTATTTTGGTGTTGGTGGAGGGACGAGGAGTTTTGAGAAGTTAGTGTTAATGGACGGTGTGTTTGATGTGTCAGTTTGTAAAGTGTACAGTACGGGTGTGCAACGAGAAATTTTGTGTTTGAAATATCGATAGGTGTTTACTATAAACTTGAGTTAAAAAAGAGACGCAGAGAGATGAATATGTATTGGTCGCGTCTTGAACAAATGAAAGACATCTAAAGAAACCTGATGGTCTCGCCTATGTAGCGGCAAAGACATATTATATTGGTGTTGGTGGAGGGACGAGGAGTCTTGAAAAGTTAGTGTTCATGGACGGTGTGTTTCACGTGTCAGTTTGTAAGGTGTACAGTACGGGTGTGCAACGAGAAATTTTGTGTTTGAAATATCGATAGGTGTTAACTATAAACTTGATTTAAAAAAGAGACGCTGAGAGATGAATATGTATTGGTCACGTCTAAAACAAATGAAAGACATCTAAAGAAACCTGATGGTCTCGCCTATGTAGCGGCAAAGACACATGATGCAACGAGAAATTTTGTTTGAAATATTGATAGGTGTTTACTCTAAACTTGAGTTAAAAAAGAGACGCAGAGAGATGAATGTGTATTGGTCGCTTCTAAAACGAATGAAAGAAGCTTTTTGCTAATGCCTGTGTGGTCAATACTCCCAAAACGAGCATTTTTCCTTCCGAAAAGATACGAAGTGTGCGACTTCCGCGATCTTAATCTAATACTTCTTGTGTGACGCTTGATTTTGACTTGAAATAATAGTGGGGAGTTCGGCTGCCTTTAAAAGCACACACAACCCACAATTCTTCTATTCGCTCCGACGACGGGCTAACGCTCGAAACGTCAGCTTTTGTAATCGTTACGGTGGCCAATTTACCATTTCAACTTTGTTGATATATCCAAATTATATTGCCTCACGAAAGGGTGCAAAAGAAAGAAAAACGACACGAAGATGCCGGATCTAAATCTTTGGAATCTGCTGAGTGGTGCTGTTTCAGTTTCTTACACCGAAAAACTATAGCAGTGCTCAATCTAGAAATTAGCCAAAGTGGGTCATAATGTCCCACATAAAAATTTAAATTGGGTCATTTCAAAAATGGTCTAGGTCAAACTCTGAAACTTTGCGGAAAAACTCACATCATCCAAACTATCACCAACTGGCCCATCAAAGTTTTTATGCTTTTTTAGCCAAGGATATATATATTTCCATGCAGGGCGAAATTTTCTCACAGTGTTACCACAGGTGGCCCAAGCTCTGTCACAGGCTCTTTCACAGTGGATTATTAAAGAGTTTGTATAGTGGTTTAGTTGGATTGCTTTTGAGCTCCGTAAATGTAAAGTTGCGTGAAAAAGTCAGAGAAATAAAGTCTTATCTTCATAGCGAGTAGTCTGTGTTGTTCTCGCGATTTGAGGCCGTTTTGATGTGTTTTAGCTTGACGCCCTAATCACTACCGAGTCACCGTGCACAAGACAACGGGTCCTCCCCATAGTCTTCTAACACCAACCCTTCACACATACTAAAGTACCCGGTATTTCTGTTGTTATCAAGTATAACAAGAAAACAGTGAAGTTAAGATGGACAGTATCGACGATCTAGTCAAGTCGATGAGTTTACCCGGGGTACCTTAGTATGTGTGAAGGGTTGGTGTTAGAAGACTATGGGGAGGACCCGTTGTCTTGTGCACGGTGACTCGGTAGTGATTAGGGCGTCAAGCTAAAACACATCAAAACGGCCTCAAATCGCGAGAACAACACAGACTACTCGCTATGAAGATAAGACTTTATTTCTCTGACTTTTTCACGCAACTTTACATTTACGGAGCTCAAAAGCAATCCAACTAAACCACTATACAAACTCTTTAATAATCCACTGTGAAAGAGCCTGTGACAGAGCTTGGGCCACCTGTGGTAACACTGTGAGAAAATTTCGCCCTGCATGGAAATATATATATCCTTGGCTAAAAAAGCATAAAAACTTTGATGGGCCAGTTGGTGATAGTTTGGATGATGTGAGTTTTTCCGCAAAGTTTCAGAGTTTGACCTAGACCATTTTTGAAATGACCCAATTTAAATTTTTATGTGGGACATTATGACCCACTTTGGCTAATTTCTAGATTGAGCACTGCTATAGTTTTTCGGTGTAAGAAACTGAAACAGCACCACTCAGCAGATTCCAAAGATTTAGATCCGGCATCTTCGTGTCGTTTTTCTTTCTTTTGCACCCTTTCGTGAGGCAATATAATTTGGATATATCAACAAAGTTGAAATGGTAAATTGGCCACCGTAACGATTACAAAAGCTGACGTTTCGAGCGTTAGCCCGTCGTCGGAGCGAATAGAAGAATTGTGGGTTGTGTGTGCTTTTAAAGGCAGCCGAACTCCCCACTATTATTTCAAGTCAAAATCAAGCGTCACACAAGAAGTATTAGATTAAGATCGCGGAAGTCGCACACTTCGTATCTTTTCGGAAGGAAAAATGCTCGTTTTGGGAGTATTGACCACACAGGCATTAGCAAAAAGCTTCTTTCATTCGTTTTAGAAGCGACCAATACACATTCATCTCTCTGCGTCTCTTTTTTAACTCAAGTTTAGAGTAAACACCTATCAATATTTCAAACAAAATTTCTCGTTGCATCATGTGTCTTTGCCGCTACATAGGCGAGACCATCAGGTTTCTTTAGATGTCTTTCATTTGTTTTAGACGTGACCAATACATATTCATCTCTCAGCGTCTCTTTTTTAAATCAAGTTTATAGTTAACACCTATCGATATTTCAAACACAAAATTTCTCGTTGCACACCCGTACTGTACACCTTACAAACTGACACGTGAAACACACCGTCCATGAACACTAACTTTTCAAGACTCCTCGTCCCTCCACCAACACCAATATAATATGTCTTTGCCGCTACATAGGCGAGACCATCAGGTTTCTTTAGATGTCTTTCATTTGTTTTAGACGTGACCAATACATATTCATCTCTCAGCGTCTCTTTTTTAAATCAAGTTTATAGTTAACACCTATCGATATTTCAAACACAAAATTTCTCGTTGCACACCCGTACTGTACACCTTACAAATTGACACGTCAAACACACCGTCCATTAACACTAACTTCTCAAGACTCCTCGTCCCTCCACCAACACCAATATAATNACTATGTTCTCGTCGTTTCTCAGTCGTTTCAGTGCGCGTTGTTCGTCTTTAGTCAAGTTGCTGTCATGTAGTGACGTTGATTGTATAGTGGAGGCAATTCTGCTTCTGATGTTATCCTTGGTCGGCTCAGATAGTTCTCGTTGCCGAGACAGGGCCGCCTCAACACTAGATACAATAGCCTCAGTCGGTATGCGTTTAGGTGTTACTGAGTGTTTTAGTCCGTATGATAGTACCCGAGTTTCAGTCTTGTCTAAGGAACGAGAAGAAATGTTACTTACCCAGTTGTCGTCCGGTTTGCTTCGTCTCTCTTCTTTGTCGCGTAGCAGTCGTGTCAATTTTTGTTGATGTCCAGTGCGGGCGCGTTCAGTCGTCTTGTTGGCTCGTTTGTCGGCAATTGTCGTAACGGTGTCAAGTAGGTCAGTTGGTATCAGTGGTTTCAGTTGGTCGTGTAGTTGTCGTAGTTTGTTTCTGTGGTGTTTGAGTCTTCTGTGGCAATCATTTATCCGCGCTTTGACCAGTCGTCTGCAGGTGGCTTTGACGATCTGGATGGCCTCCTGTGTGTTCAACGGGGGCTTAAGTTTGAGCTCGGCCGGGACAAGGCCGTGATCTTTAGAGCGGTGATTGAACCAGAGTTGCTGTCGTATTCGCCTGACAGTGCTTGCGTAGGTGATGTAGTAAACTGGTGATGTAGTAAACATCTGGTGATGTAGGTGATGCAGTAAACAACTTCTTTAATAATCCACTCTGAAAGAGCCTGTGACAGAGCTTGGGTCACCTGTGGTGTTACTTGATGAGTTGGAGGCCGTTGGCTCTTGAAATTCTGGCGGTTCACTTAACATCGAACTGACTTCTCCAGCTTCGCCATCCTTATCCAGCCCATCTTCTTGATTTTCTCTTCTTTTCTGTCATTCTCTTTTTCGTAAACAATAAACTTGGCTTTTGTTGTCGCTTCATAATGAGACCAAACAAACAAAGCCAAAGGAAACAAAGTCAACAAACGAAGCGTGGATCGATGGGCAAAGAAACGAACGTATGCAGAACGTTGAAGTGTAAGATCCAGTCTCTATCGGAATTGCATGAAACGCCTGTAACAATAAGTACTCGTAAACATGTAGTATGAAATGCCAGTCAGTTCGCGCACTGATTTCAGGCTAGTAATGACCATAGTTAGAAGAGGGGACTTAGTAGAGCTCTGCACATTTCAATCGCTGCTGTTGAAGAGATAATTTTAATCTCTCTGGTGCTGTTTTACATATAGGGGCATTGAGCTTTGCAGGTACAGATAGTCTTCTTGTCTTGATTTCTTTTTGCTTCTGGTATGAAGAAAGATAACTTTCACATTGGTTGCATCTTTCTGTTTCTTTACACATCAATAAACACTCATTAGATCTCCAATATTCTTCGTGTGGAAACGTCTGATGATTGTCCATTGCTAAAGAGTCTACTTGTATAGCCTGGTATCACATGGTGACCTGGAATACTTGACATCTGACTTCCACTACAAGGGCTTCCTATTCCAGCACAAAGAGAGTAGCTGTCCATTTCCTTCACAATGTTACTGACTGGGACATTCAGCGATCTTAGATGCTTGATGTAAATATCGTGAGTTTCTGGAAGAAAGCACCCAAATACCTTGATTGGGAACCCCAGGCTGTAGTCAACAATAAGTTCCTTTTCTGGGAGAAGAAGGTTGTCTTTCATCTTTGTAATGACCAGTCTATCCTTGGATGTCTGAATATTCCACTCGTTGAGGCTCTTTAAACTTGGTACTCTCTTGCACAAATCGCCAAAGGTTTTATAAAAAGCTGATTTCACACGTTTCGCGCTTTCTGTGGTTACCACGCTTCGAGCAGGTCGAGGTACAGGTTTATTCGTTTCGTGGCTTCGCTTCGGCATGTTTAATAATGGCAGCGCTCCAAATCGTGGCTTTTTCGTGATCATCTTTTCAGATTGGACTATAGAGAAAGACAGAAGGTCATTTTAGTTATTCCACGTTGGAAAAAAATAACATAAATGTGGGTACAAGTGAATATGCCCACTTCAAAGTGAAATAGTTCAACACAGAAGGAACGTAAGACAAAATCAACTTTACTTACATATTTCAACATCTCGAGGGTGAAAGTGCTTTTCGCAGGTGTACGCAGTATGGTTTTGGACCTTTTTTCGGAATACTGCATCAACTGTTCTTGTCTTGGTAATCTCGCTGAGCCAAGCATCTCTCCATTTACGATGGCCCGCGTCTTTCGGTGCAGGCAGTCTCCAGATACCAACACCTTTCGTCCTTCTTGAGGTTCCACAACCAAAAACCGAACAGTTATCACCCGGCATGATAATTTATAAATAGTCAAACTACATATCTCTTAGAAATTCTTGATTAAACTACGTTTGAAGCATAAAATACTTTAAAATTTCTCCTCGATAAAGTCACGCTTCTCGAAAGACAGCCGCCATCGTGGAAGTGTGTGTGTGTGTGTGTGTGTGTGTGTGCACGGTCATAACCACGTGATCACACTAAAACCATAACAATAAGTTAACCCTTTGAAGTTTGCCGGGTTTCCTAACCTGTCTCCTCTGCTAACTATGAGTAAAAGCGCCTTTAACCAGCAGTGTTTACAATTACAACCACCTATCACCCATGCCTGAGTGATAACACTTCCCCCACTCCTCCCTCGGTATTTGTAGACTGCACCCACCCCTCCCTGAGTACTAAAGGTCTGCCTCCCCCCTTATAAATGGTCCAAATAATGGTCCAAAAAATAGTCCAAAAAATGGTCCAGTCCATATTTTACCCTATGCCAAAACACTATTGTTTTTGCACTATGGAAAAGCGCAAACAAAGATTGTATCTGTTTCGCAAACAAAAGAGTTTTTTTCGCTTTTTTGGTTCATATAGAAAGTGGTTTTTAAATAGCTGTACGATATAATAGCGGAAATATGTAAAACTAATTTCATCGACAGTGAGATAACAGATAAAAATAGACGTGAAGTGGGGTAAATTGAATAAACAAAAATAAAATAACTAGAAGTAAGAACAGTTAAATTAATGAATGACGGGGTTGTATAAAATTTATGTATTATTATAATTAATATTTTAAATGATTCTTTTTATTATTAAGTATTAACCACACCCATGACTTTTACCCACACCCAGTCACCCACACCCACGACCCACGACTTGTATCCACGGCCCACGACCCACGACCCACGACCATTAGTCAAACTCCTCAGCAAATCGGCTGGAAATCTGATTACGTCGTTCAACATTTGGCTTGCTGCTCCTTATTCACCAAACCGGGGGGGGGGGACTAAACAGAATTTTCGATTCAGAAATCGTGCCGTATTTAACTATTTTAGTCGACTGAAATAGGAGTTAAGTTCGGCACATGTGAAATTCGACGTTTGAACTGGGCCTCAAATGTCCAGATTTCAAACCAATTTAGCCAAAAATAATTAGACAGAATTACCACCTACCAATATTTCCGTGTATGAAAATGCGCTGAAGCAAACACTTGTATGTGCGTGTCGGAATTAAAAGAATGCTTCGAATTTTACTTGCGATAATTGTTGTTAGGACGAGCTGTCTGCTTACGCAATGATTTGTATTCGTTTGCTGCCCAGTTGTCAGCATGTACTTCTCATTGTTTCCAATGGACCTTATCAAGTAGCAGAAGGCATAAGCGTAAAATTAGACAATCATTAGTTGTTTTGATCACGTACTATTGTGCGTCATGCAAAGTGATGGCAAAGCATCATGCTGGCAAAATTACCGCTTACCAATATTTCCGTGTATGAAAGTGCGCTGGAGCAAACACTTGTATGTGCGAGCTGAAATTAAAAGAATGGTTCCAATTTTAGCTGAGATAATTGTTGTAACAACATTGTTCAGTTCCTGTTTGTAGTATTACAAGAGAAATGACTATTTTTGTCTATTCGCAACACTATTCTTACGAAAATAAGATCGTTGTTTTTCGTCGATTTGTTGTTTTTTTGTTGTTTTTTTGATGAACTCGCTACCATGACCTTGGCAAATGTTCTTTCTTTTGTCAAATTCCAATACGTCGAAGTATTAAATCGGATTGAAATTTTTTTGCCTCTTCTATACTTCTATGTTGGGTGACAATTCTCTTTCGACTCCAACGGCAAAGAGATCGGCTTTAAATAAAAGAATGCAACAGAGCTTTGCTAATGGGCAACATCATTCGGATTCTAAATTTACATGGCGATATGACTGGCAGAAGTGAATTCTGCATAGCAAAGTGATTGATCATACCATGTGTGGGTAACAAAAACCCATCAGAAAACTTTTTTATGAAATGCGAACCCTCTCTTCAATGATATTTTTCTAATCCGGATATGTATTACTTTATAGGAATACCACAAAGTACGAGTCAAATGATTTTGAAACTGATTTAGAACTGTTTATTTGACCAAATCATCTGACAAGGTTTCTTTTATTTCAACTATGGAAACCGCCACTTACGAGCTTATTTTAATTTTCTATCGTGATTAGCGTCGTTATTTTCATGGTTTGTTATCCTTAAACAACTTCAGTTACTGTTAATAAAACATAAAATCTGACAAAGTAGCAGCCATGAATGGAAATTGTGATTTTCCTATCGGCTCATGAGCACTATCTTCGCTTCACTCAATACATCTCAGAGACGGAAAAAATCCATCAACTAAGATTAACTGGCTGTTCCGTTATGAATTGCAAAATGATCATTAAGAACATGCATGTGACTAATCAAGGTGAATCAACTGTCGAGACTGTCTATGCTATGAACTTTAAAAAACTACTGACATGTGAAATAACCCTCAGTAGGAAACTATGACAAATGTTCACGATAAAGCACGTTGAATTTATAAAGAGCGAATATACAATCGCGTCATTTTTGAATCATTGAAAGGAAGAGTAGGTCAATTTGTTCAATCTTGTAGACTTAAATCAAAACGATACTTTTGGTTCAAATTTTTCATAGTGCAAGCGTTCACGTGTGGCAAATGTTTCCCTGCTACTTAATCAAACTAAGCTGGTGTCCTTCAACCATCATTCAATGATATTTGTATAGATCTGCATGAAAGAAACAAACTTGTAATCGGGACCGTGCTTCGCGTTGGCAGCTTTTCTTGGATCAGTGATCTTGTTTCCATCTCCATCTAGATCAGTCGCAGGAGTTGATCCAGGCTTATATGAGTAAAATCCTGTGTCATCCAAGCGATACCAATGGTAATCCACACCTGACAATAAGGAGACAAAAAATGAAAAAGAGGAGAAAAATTCATGCTGACAACCCGGCTCTGATTGATTGGAAGATCTTATCTTAAGGCCTCATTACAAAATCGGAATGAAGATAATAGACCAGAAGTCTTTCTGTGAGACTAACCATCCTATGATTAAATTTACTGTGACATAACGTCCTTCCATCAGGTTTTAGCCGAGATTGAAGATGATTTAGGCTTTTGAATACTTTTAAATAGCACCTTATTTTGTTCTACATTTTAGTTATATTTCTCACTATGGTTTAGAGTACAGTTTAAGGAAGCCATTTTAACTCCTGCCTAAAATGATGCTATATTAATGACTGAGTTACTCAGGATATCATTATATTGTAGGGAGGAGCTAAAGTAGTGTCTGTTCATTACCTGGGGCAACCACCAGTGCTACCAAGCAGTTGGGCTGTGCTGGTGCTGTTGGCACAGGATCATGATTAGGCACATCCATCTTCAATAAACCATCACTTTCAGCACTGCGTAAGGTCTTGCCTGCCGTTATACCACCTACGATAGGATTGCCGCTGGCTCTACCGGGCTGAGCAAAGCTGTTGGTGATTTTCTGATTTGCGTAGTTGTAGCAGTTGTTGTTCCACTGGATTAGCTGGACATCATTCCACCTGCCAGGGTTGTAGATAGGTGCATAATGCTGTATAACATCTTTTTTGTCGCGTAGGATCGAACGGACATGCCTGGGAGAGACCGCTCTTGAATGGCTGGGAGAGACCGCTCCTGAATCGATGGCCTGTCGAATCTTCGGGTGCAAAGCGTCATGAATCTTCCCTTCTGGCATGGAGTCAAGCAGTATCTTTTGATAGGCAGTCGTCTCCTCGCCTAGAATTAACTCTGCATGCTCGTCTTCTGGGTGATGTACTAAGAAACCCCTGTATCCGAGAGTGGCAGGAATATGCTCTTGACGAAGGGCTTTTCCTCTTTCTCGGGCTTCCTGATGAAGTTTTTTCATTTCATTGAACTTCTCATGACGAGGATGAACCCACCAAACGGGATTAGGGACACCACTGAATATAACCAAAGTTACCTTGAATTCTCCTGTATTGTGAGGAAAAAAAACCACCGTGGTATAAGGATAGCTAAACAGTTACGATATGTTACATTCGAATGATCGTCCGATTTAAACCTTTTTGACAGGTCTGGACCATAAAGGCAAATTTGGTGAGAATTCTGAGACAAACGCTTAAAACTGGCCCTGATGTTACTTTTGCATGGTCTAACATTATTTTTCATCATTTACCTACAATTTAGAGCGCACAAATAAGATTTTACGATATATCAGTGGAAAAAGTTAAGAAATTATAATTAACAATGTACACTCGTATTGCAGATCCCAATTTTCCAGAAAAACAAAGAACTAAAGCATTCTTGATCTGATAAAAATAGAATGATGATGTGGCTTACCGTCCATACTTGCTGCTGTACAATATAGCTGACCCCGTCAAATACAGTTGAAGGCGAAAATGTAATAGATCCTCGACTGCGCTCCTGCAGTATTTCCTTGCTAAGTCGTCTGATGAATCGATCAAAATGCTGTTCAAAGTGCCTCTTTATATATTTTGCTTTGACAGGCTCAAGTAATCGTTTCCTTTGGTTTGAAGCACTCAGCTCGGAAGTAGCGCGAGTTTCCAAAAAAAGCAAAGGTAGCCATGAGGCCTTCTGTTCCAAACCAATCGGATGGAAATCTGATTACGTCATTCAGCATTTGGTACTCCTCCTTTTTCATTAGTCGGGGAGAACACTCAACAGAATTTCGAATGTAGCAATCGTGCCCCTTTACTTAATCCTGAAGCAATGTTATCCCCAAGAGCACTCTGACTTTTTAAAAAAATACCTTTTTTAAAAATCTATTTAGTGTTAACTCCATTCGATCCTATGTTGAAAGAAACCTTCAGTTATGTCTTAATAGGCTGTGAGCTTACACGACGATTTTTCTTTGTTTGTCGCTCAAGTGTCTACCTGTACTTGCCACTGTTTCCGATTGTCCTTATCAAGTAGCGGACTGAGAAGGTTAGAAAAGAGACAGTCATAAGTTGTTTTAATTTGATCACGTACTGCTGTGGATCATGCCAAGTGATGGAAAAGCATTATACCGACCCTTTTCCCTGATGTCTGTTCATTATTGAATTAGGATTTCTTTTATCTATTTACACTTAACGATTTGTCAACATATATAATTAAGATGACTAAAGGTGGTCAAAAAAATTTAAACGCACAAGAAAAAAAAGATGATTTAATCGCTTTGGTTTTAAAACAGAACAGTGAATTAAATGAACTTGGATATAAAAAACCCAATTCCAACACCAAGACTGATAAATTCTGTTAAGCAAATGGTTCAAGAAAATAAGAAAAAAAAATTAAACTTCCTGTTCCAAAACTAAGGACAATTAAAAATGTTAATGTACCAATTCCAATATCTAGAGCTAATATTTCCATTAAAGAAGAAAGCACTAAAGAATTTAAGTAAATCATTTGAAATCAACATCATACTATTAAACAGTTGACAGAAACAAGAAAAGCAATTTTTTAAATGTTAAGAAGCCAATTATTGGAAATGAAGGATATTAAGAATGTGTCCACGAGAGCACCAGAAAGTCGTGATCCATGCCATCTCACCGATCTCAATGAAACTTTGCCAGTTCAAAGGATCTACCGCAAAACTCAAAATGCGTGATGATTTTTCTTTGTTTGTCGCTCAAGTGTCTACATGTACTTGCCATTGTTTCCGATTGTCAAGTATCCTTATCAAGTAGCAGACCGCCAAGGTTAAAAAAGAGACAATCGTAAGTTGTTTTGATCACGTACTGCTGTGGATCATGCGAAGTGATGGAAAAGCATATATACCGACCCTTTTCCCTGATGTCTGTTCATTATTGAATTTTCAGGATTTTTTTTATTTATTTACACTTAACGATTTGTCAACATATATAATTAAGATGACTAAAGGTGTGTTTGACGTGTCAGTTTGTAAAGTGTACAGTATGGGTGTGCAACGAGAAATTTTGTACGTATGATGCACGATCCTCGCAGTAGATAGCGCTATTTAAGCAATAGCGAAAATCAGACCTGAAAAAAATCAGGCCTGTACGGGACACGAACCACTGACCTCTGCGATACTAGTGCAGCGCTCTTACCAATTGAGCTAACAAGCCAACTGAGAGGTCTGATTTTCGCTATTGCTTAAATAGCGCTATCTACTGCGAGGATCGTGCATCATACGTACAAAATTTCTCGTTGCACACCCATACTGTACACTTTACAAACTGACACGTCAAACACACCTTTAGTCATCTTAATTATATATGTTGACAAATCGTTAAGTGTAAATAAATAAAAAAAATCCTGAAAATTCAATAATGAACAGACATCAGGGAAAAGGGTCGGTATATATGCTTTTCCATCACTTCGCATGATCCACAGCAGTACGTGATCAAAACAACTTACGATTGTCTCTTTTTTAACCTTGGCGGTCTGCTACTTGATAAGGATACTTGACAATCGGAAACAATGGCAAGTACATGTAGACACTTGAGCGACAAACAAAGAAAAATCATCACGCATTTTGAGTTTTGCGGTAGATCCTTTGAACTGGCAAAGTTTCATTGAGATCGGTGAGATGGCATGGATCACGACTTTCTGGTGCTCTCGTGGACACATTCTTAATATCCTTCATTTCCAATAATTGGCTTCTTAACATTTGAAAAATTGCTTTTCTTGTTTCTGTCAACTGTTTAATAGTATGATGTTGATTTCAAATGATTTACTTAAATTCTTTAGTGCTTTCTTCTTTAATGGAAATATTAGCTCTAGATATTGGAATTGGTACATTAACATTTTTAATTGTCCTTAGTTTTGGAACAGGAAGTTTAATTTTTTTTTCTTATTTTCTTGAACCATTTGCTTAACAGAATTTATCAGTCTTGGTGTTGGAATTGGGTT